GGATGTATTTGATGGTTGTTTTTAACAAAGAACAAAGAATTCACAATAAATATAGCAATATGGTTCCTAAAGCCTCCTGGTCTTTCTCTGATTTTTGATTTGTTACTTTCCCTGGCCAGCTGCCTTATGGTTTGCTATAAAGAAAGTACACTTATTTCCTCTGCTTTATGTAGAAAACAAGATATTTAACACATTAGAAATCCACTGTTCACAGAAAGTTGACTATCTGCTTTCCTTGAGGAAGACTTGGTCAGGTTATCCAACTGGACTATCACATATCAAAAGGTTAGGATACCTCTGAATGGTACTTCCTTTAATTTAGGCTATTGTGGGAGTATTCCAGTATTTTTCCCAGTCTGTTGCTCAAGACTACGTCTCCTGGCATAAGCATCAGTAACCTTCAGGCTGCATTCTGACAAGTGAAGTCAACCAAAGGCGTCGTTCATTTAGCAGCCTCACTTCCTTTGTAAGACAACGTAGGATGGAGGTTAGCTACTAATGTCAGCAAGGCTGTCTGATCTGTTGAAGTCAGCTTACTCCAGTGATTAAAAAAAGGAGTTGTCCCACAACTCTGAATAGGATTTCTTTGTGGTAGAATTCCCTTGCACTCAGCAATGCTCACTTAGTCTACTCTTATGACCTGTAACTAATGTGCTTAAAAGCCTACTAGATCTCAGATGCTTAGATTTCTGAGCAATTCTGAGCATGAGAGTCACGGCCAGAATTTTTAAGTGAGAAAACGCGTCTCCTCCATTTTGCGGTAGTGCTGAGCAGTAGAGTTAGTTGGAACGCATCATTTCCACTCCAGTTATTTGGAAATTTTTACATTGGTTTTGTTTTGGATTGAAATTAGCTTACCATTTGAAGGTTTCTGTAAAGGGAAGTTCAAACCTCTTGATTCTGTTTTGGTATTTTCACAACAGAATTGAAGAGGGTCTTTGTGTGGTTAAACTCTTCTGAGGAGCGTTATCCGCCAACATGGTAGAATGAGGGGAATCTGGGAACTGGAAGCCCTGACAGCTTCAGCGTACACCAAGGCTTCTGACTTTTGGCTGCATGGCAGGGAGCCAGGAATCCTTGAAGGATGGGGTTACCTGAGTCCCAATTCTGTATTAGCCGTACATTGGGGACAATCTGGCAGGAATCTAGGAAGGTTAAACTTTAGTAAAAAGTTTCTGCAGAGGTCTATTGAATTGATACATTCCAATTGAATTCTTATACCTACACCTGTATTCTTTAAAAACAGATACACCCCCGTTTTATTGGATAATGGCATATATGAGAGATTCTCGAAGATGTATCCTTCTGGTCAGTTTTGCAAGACTTCTTTCCTCTTTGCATTTTAAGTCTGGGCCACTCACCTGACATCAAGGTTCCCTTTTCCAGCTCTTGAAAGAAACCCTGCTGCCCACCTCAGAAAGGCCACCTGGAGGAGACTAATCAATATTAAAAAATGGGAAGAAAGATTTTTGTGGTCCCCCTTCTCTGTATATAGAAATGAAATGTCTTCCTATCCATAATATGTCAACCTTTATTATGAGTCATTCCAAGGAAATGGTGAGTGGGGTTGCCTGCAAGTGTATGGTCATTAGAATTTGAAAACTCTCTTTTCAGCACATTTGCTCTTTTCACAAATGATGGAGGCGCATCAGCACGTGGCCAGGCTCCCTTTATGGTTAATTTCTGCAAAAGCAAGACTGAGAGTTAATATTCTGCTCCTAGCTTGATTTTTCTGTTAAAATCTTCATAGCAGCTGGCAACCTTTTGCCAAATTTTAAAAGAAGCCTTGCATGTAGCAAAGGCTTCAACCTGTGCAAATAAGGACTGCTGAGAATCAAATGCCATTCAAGCTCAGGGTTATGTGGGGGTGGTTGCAGAAAAATGCCCATATAATGAAGTGTGGTTTGCTTCCTGCACACACTTTATGTTCTTTCACACTGGTATAAACAACATTTTAAACTGAATTCTAGTACCTCAATCAGTGCTAAGATTCTTGAGTGTTTTGCTGAAGAATATTAACCCCTTGCAGCAGGTGACATCTACAACAATTTAAGAGGTTTCTTTAAAACTGAGGGGAAAACAAAGGCATTTTTTCTCATACCAGAATAAATGGAAGTAAAAAGAAGCCATGCTCAATATCAGAAAAGGTACCAAAAATGTGTGGCACAATGAAAGGCCCCTCCAGATATGCAGGTAAAAGCACAATGGGTTCTGATGTGTGATGCATATAATCATGCTTCCTGTCATGCCATGTGTTCAAGACAGAAGGTGTAATTGTGGGCAGGAAGCAGTTTATGTCAGCTTTCACAGAGCCTGGGTCCTTCACTTGTGCCTGGGTGGCAGGATGGCTTCTTGATCTTCCCTGGACTGCACACACCTTGCTAGCAGTTCTGTCTTCCTTTGTAGACTGTTTTAATTGTATTGCTTCAAAGCATTCCTTCTTGATAGTCGATTAATTAAAGTCCAAACAAAGCAGGCAAGGACTTCATTAACATATTACAATTGTAACTTGTTTGTGTGTGAAGTTTGTAAGCTTTTGATCTGTTTTAGAATCAAATGGGATGGGTATTGATTGAATGAGGTACCTTTAGGAAGTTGGTTACAGAATACTATTTTTCAGTAGTTATTGTAACAATACAGCCTAAGAAATGGCTTATGGGAATAGTGAAGGTCAGAGGCCATTGGATACAATAAGTGTAAGTTTCCAGAGAAGGCAATCAGGACTTGTAGTAGAGATGATATCTTGTATTAGACCAACAAGATTTTTGCCAAAAAAAATTCTTTAATTGCAAGCTTCCAGAGAATACTCTGGTTTAGCATAATACACACTTAAAGATTGACTTCCTAATTTGAGAAATATGCCTTAATGAATGCAAATGTGAGGCAGTGATGATCAGACAATAGGTGTGAAGTAAGTTAGATGCAGTCACTAATTTAGTATAATAAACATTTAGACATTTGTAAAACTTAAGACAGATATTGGATGTCTGCTTTGGGAAATAGGTCTTAATCAAAGGGGGAATGTGTTAACTAGGGTATATTTACAGTAATATTTTCAGTGCACCTTGGCTTTTCTCATTTCTTACAGGCTTTGCTTTGAAGTGGATATTTTAGTTCTTTTGTTTTCTTTAGTGACACTTAGCTCAATTAAGATGTAGATGTAGTTTGTAAATTTCTTCCCAGGCCATTTGGCTTTCTGGCTTACTCTCTGACTCTTGTTATATACATGTAATGAGCGTGTCAGGTCTCTGCCAATAATTGTAACCATCACTTTTACTTTTTTTTTTGCCTTAGGTGTGGTAGAAGGCTGAAGACTGTTTTCAAAACTGTTATTATCTTATGGCCTGTGTCTGGTATTGGGTACTGCAAGCTCCACTCTCTCTTACACAGAATGGGCTGCAAGCCATTAGCAGAGTTTGATTTGCTTTGTGGCAGACTTGTTACACAACCCAGTTTTGCCCCAGCCACTGTCTTGCATTTTTGTGCAAGAGGCACTGTTCCAAGCTTTCACAGCTTTCATAGTCAGCAGTACAATCATGCTTCCTGCCATGCCACATACTCATGACAGAAGGTGCGATTGTGGGATAGTGTATCAGATCCCATCATGCCTCATTGCCAGTTCAGGGGGAGCCCAAGATCATGATCCCAGGCTCCATCCTGCATGAGCAAGTAGCAAGCTTCCATGGCTGGAAGTTGATTGGGACTCCCATCCTAGTGGCACACCTGGTCACAAGTTCAATTAATGGCATCATAAGAACCAGCCACAAAGTTTATTACACATCTTTTGTATTACACATATTTCTTGTTTTATGCAACCATCAACTGCTTTAACGTATGGCTGGGTTACAACTTAAACCATGATTAACTGGTTAATCAAACCTGAGTATAACAGTGGCAGTGGTCTTATTAGACTGCAAAGAACTCAAACCAGACCTTCTGAACTGTAAAGATATAGAGATACACAGTGTTCTTCACTTTTATAATGCCTATCCCTAGTATTAAACAGCATGTCATTTTTTAGGAAAAATATTGTTGGTTAAGTATAGCTGTTCTTGGTAATTTTAGAAAGGTAAAATAAAAGAAGGTAAGTTTGTTTTTGCAATCAGGTAGCTGAAACAACAGCAGTCCCCAGAAGGTAGGCACATCACCAGCCCAAACAAAAGCATACACAGCACACACATAGGCAGAGGAGTTTGGGTCACTGTTTTGTAAAAGTTTTTCTCTGAAAGGAGCAAAAAGACCAGAGAAATAGAAAAATCAGATATCAAAGACTACAAGAAGCAGGAACAAAAAAGCCAAGGATATCATCAGAACAAACAGTAGGAAAGCAACTGTGAGAAAAGCTAGAAATATTTGGCTAAGTGCTAGCTTGAAAGCTGTTGAAAGCTGGACAAAGACTATGTTTTGTTTGACTCCTGCTACATTCAAGAAACCAAGACTAGGTGTTTTGATGCAATCTTGTTTAATTATAAAGATACCTTGATTCTCCAAATTCTTCTCCTAATGGAAAAGATCCACAACAGCTGGAATGCAGCTGTTAAGATTAAAAGGGATAATATTCAAGGGGGAGTGATAAAGAAGAATAATCTGGGTATTACTCTAGCAGTTACGATCACTATTAATGGATTGTGTTAGATGTTGTGCAGATACAAAAAAATGATGATCCCTGCCTTTTAAGCTTCTCCTGCTGAAATACTATTTCCTATATTCAGACCCCCTATGCTCTTTCTTTACATTTATATCTCATGATTTTTGCTTAAAAACATTAAATCTTAAGGTTAGATAAGGTTGGCAGTTAATTAAAGACTTGTAAACAAAACAGAAGAAATCAGTGGTTTAATTCTTAAATGTCATGGAATGGACTCAGAACCTGATGGATGGCTTTTAGTAAAGTTTAGGAGCAGTGTGTCTTACCAAGGGTCAGAGGAGAGACAGCTGTATTTGGGTTAAGGAAAAATATGAGATCTGAGGAAAGGCTCTGTTTCTTGTCCCCAAATTTGTGTTCAATTTATGGAGCAATGACTGACTAGCCAAGCAGACTTCTTTGATTTTCAGGAAGTGAGTTGATAACTTCTAGAATTTATGGGGGAAAAGAACAAGTAAATCTTTGAAATTCTGTGCTTGTGATAGCATCACAGAAGTGCCATAGTCTCTTTGTGCCATAATAAAAGTTTCTACATTACTACTTACAATTATTTTCTGAGTGGAAGCATCTCGTCTTCTGTTTGCAAAATCGATTCTTATATTTTCTCATGGTGAGTGACAGTCTTTGACTCAAATGTTTCATAATGACTTGAAGGGCAAGACAATTAGACAATTCCCCTTGTCTGTGCAAACTGCAAGAGTCCTAATAGATATAAAGGTATTTGTAGATAAATTACTGCACATTTTGCATTTTCCTTTTCAATTTTTTGGGGTCCTACAAACGGAACAAAGTGATTTAAAAAATGAACTTAGGTCACTGCACACCAGGGGAACTTTAAAACCAGAAATAGACTCCAATATTTATTTAAATTGTTCTTATTGTGACATTAGATCTTATCCTGCCAACAGCAACAGCTTAAAAAACTTGATGTATTAGTTCACTGAACATTAGACAAAAGCATGAAAAATGCTCTGGTAGTGAACCTGGTTTATTTGCCCTCATCTATTTCAGAGTATTTTGGGTTAGATTATGGGTGGATCCAGGTGGGTGGCAAGGGGGTACAGCCACACTCCTGGCTGTGCAGAACATGTGCAGTGAGCTATCTGGGTGTGTCCACACGTGCAGGCATGTATATTTGTGGCATCTCAAATAGCAGCAGCACAAATTTGTGCCAGATAATTGTGCCTCAGCACATGTGCCTGAACATGCACTTCGGTGTGGGGCAAGTTATGCCACTTGGGGCAAAATGACCCTGCACAGCTCCTCCCAGAGCTTCAGCCGGGGGAGCTAGCAGCTGGGGCCAGCGCCTTTACTGGCACCAACAGTATAAAAAGCTGTCCTAGTGAGCAGCTCAGGGCTACTTGCCCTCAGGAGCTTCTGGGGGAGGAGCCTCTGGAAGGAAGTTAGCCATAACCCTTCCTGTCCCAGGCTGCTGCTCCTGCTGGTTGCTGAAAGCTTTGTCTCAGAAGCGTCTGGGGAGAAGATGCCAGGCCTCTTCCTGCCTCTGGCTACTGCTAGCCGCTGGCTTGTTCTCAGAACCTTTTGGGGGTAGGTTGGTCGTACCCCTTCCTGCCTTGGGCTGCTGTTGCTACTTTGGCTGTCCCCCACGGGGGAGAGGGGTCCTCTGCTGAATGCTGCTCCCCCCTCTTGGGGGGGGCACCACACTGCACCACACCCCAGCCCTGCACCCCAGCTTCTGCGCTCCTGTTATGGCCTGCTCCCAAGCCCACCACTAAGCTGCGGTAGGGGGACAGCCTGGGGAGGGAGCCTGCACTGCCTCTGGGCCCCTCCCCCACCATCACTGCTGAAGCCTAAAGGTGCCTTGCCTGCCCCAGCTGCCTTGGCAGGCCACCCCCTGCCTCCACTTTCACCTGAAGTACACCCTGATTGGCTGAACTGGATGGATACTACCACTACTACTACTGCTGTTGCTGCTACTGCTGTCATCTGTTCTGATGTTGCCCCCTCTCAGGGGAGAGGGAGATTCCCTGCTGCACCACCTTGCACCACTCAACACCACACCTGCACTGGATTACTCCCTAATTGACTGATTGTTCCAGCACTCCACCACAGCTGCCTCACTGCATCTGATCCTGCTATTGCTCTGCTGCTGAATGCCTGGCTGGAGGCCTAAGGGGCTCCTGGACTGACCTTCAACAAACAAAGCCCCTTCACCACTCCAGCCATCTTTTTCATCTGCCTCAGCAGCACCCTGGTGTGGTAAGTCCTGTGGTCCACTCCCCCTGCTTTGGTGTTTGTTGTGTGGCTGAGTAAGCCACCTCGAGTCTCCCCAGCTCTTGTGTGTGTGAGTCCCCCCTCCCAGTTTTTTTCCTGTCAGGCTGTAGCTTAGTGAGCTTCAGACTCCTCCCTGCCATTTCCCCCACAACCTTAGCCTGCCTGTATTAGACTGACTCTATATTTTGGTTTTCTTGATTGTTTTTCCTTCCCTCATGTGAAACAATGGCAGGTCAGAAAACTTCTGGGGGGGCGGAGAAGCAGATGCCCCTACAGAGCTTCCTGCAGCCCCCACTATGGGGGCAGATCTTGGCCAAGCCCACATGAAGATGCATACCCGTGCAACCCCCACCCCGGAGGCAGAGGCCAACCAATATCCTCTGGGGATAGAGAAGCCTGCAACCTCTGGTGGGACAGGTGGGACTCTGGCAGGGAGCCAACAGGGCCAGGGGTTCTCCCCTGGCCAAGTCCCCACTGGATGGGTTCCTAAGCTCCCTCCCACACCATCAGGGAACAAGGGCAAGGGCAGTTGGAAGGGCTCCTCTTCAGCCTCCTCCACAGCTGGGGGTGGGAAGGACAAGGGCCCTGCCCCCAAGCCTAGACCACTGGCACCTGAGGGGACAAGGTGCACTACACCAGCCAGCACGCCCACTCAGCCTGTCCCTGGCCCTAGCCCCGGCTCCACCAACATGGCTTCTAGTGGGGGAACCACAGCTATCCACAGGCAGCTGTGGGGAAACCTGAAGCCATACGGCTTAGACGCTCCACCACTGGCCCTTGCAGCTTTGGCAGAGGGACACCTTTCTGGAACTTGCCTGCAGGCATGGGGTGAAGTGCCAACTTCCCAAGTGGGAAAACCTGTACTTTGAGACGTGGGTGCAGGCCCTGGCTTGGGTAATGGGGCTCCCAAAATCATGACAGCCTCCTGCTTTCATGGCAAGGGTTTTTTTTTCCTTGCCTGGGAGGCTACCACACAAGGCAACGGAGAGGGGGCTCAAGGAGCAGCCCAACTTTTGGGGGTCTCCCTGACTGCCTGACACCCGACCTCTGGGAAAGTTCAAATGAGTGATTTCCCCCATGGAACATCCAATGCACCAAATGCCCTGATGGAAAATATGTAGGAGAAACCAAACAACAACTGCGCACCAGAATGAATGCACACCGGAAATCTATCATGGACAGGAATACCCAATTACTGGTAGGGGCACATTTTTCACAAGAAAACCACTCTCACTCCAATCTCTGTCCTGATCCTCAAAGGAAACTTACAAAACACTTCCCAGAGACGAGCCTATGAACTGCACTTCAACCTCCAGGATACTAAAAATTGTGGACTAAATATAGACATTGGATTTATGATACATTATAACATGCCTGACATCTAACGCCCCAAGTATCTCTCCACTACTCATCCTCCTCCTCTCTCTCCCCTCCCCAAGCCTGTCTCTCACCCATTGACTCCTCAATCTACATTTTCACTGACTACCTTGTATGCATAACAGACCAGCCTCTGGCTTCTGTACTTTTCATTCCATCCACACCAACTACAGAAACTTCCTTAGCCTGACAAAGGGTTTTTGAACCTGAAAGCTTGCTTAATAATTGTTTTCCAACCATTTAAGTTGGTCTAGTAAAAGATATCAGATTCATGCAAAGAACCTTGTCTGCCTGTGTCCTTAGACCAACATGGCTACAACCTACATCCCTGATCCCCATGGAGGAGGTTTCCATGCTGCTGGACAGCCCTGAGTAAGAGCCCATGGAGGAGGCCCCTCACTTCACTGGCCAGGGCCTATCTCTTGAGACCATGGGCACCGAGGCTGACCTAATGGATGGCTGTCAGTGGAGCTCTCTCCCTCCAATGATCTGGGGGAAACAGGGACACTGGGGATCACCCCAGTGAGTTCTGAGGGGGGAAGTCCCCTCTCTCGAGACCCTGAGATAAGCACTGATGCTACCCCAGTGCCTGATGGCATGAGGGTTGGGATGGAGTCCCCAGACCAACAGTTCGATCTTTTCAGGAACCTGTGCAGAACCCCTGTGATTCCAGCTCTGCCCTGTCATCTTGTAAGGGAACCGCACCCCTACCCTTACCCCCACCCCCATCCCAAGGAGCTGCAGAGCTCTCCCAATCCCAGCCAGAGTCTGGAGTCTTAGCAGACTGGGGGGTTCAGATGGTACCTAAGGAGCCCACCGAACCTCAGGACCAGGAGGAGGAGCCTGCATATCTCTTTCTCCCAGCAGTCCCCAAAGGTGAGCTACTTGCATTTCTTGACTGCAAGTACACCTGGTGATCCACCAGCAAGGTACAGATTTCCTTGGGCCGCTGGGGAGATTTTGACAATGTCCACACCACTGCATGTACTCCAGCCTCCCAGCCATGAGGTCATTTAAGATCATGATCCTCAATGTCTATGGCTGCAGAAAGGGTCTCCGGAGATGCCAGGTGCTCTCCTTCCTTCAGGAGGGGGGTACCCTATGGTATTTTTACAGGAGACCCTGACAACTTCAGCCAATGAACCTAATTAGTGGCTGGAGTGGGGAGGCAGGGTCTTTTTTAGTTACCTCTCGGCCACCTCATGTGGGGTGGCCACCCTGTTCTTCCCAGGCCTGCAGCTGGAGGTTCTCTAGGACATTGAGATGGTGCCAGGTCACCTGCTGCACTTCCAGGTCCCAGTACGGAGGCTGGTCCTGAGCCTTCTGAATGTGTACGCCCCTGCAAGGGGCCTGGAGTTGGCAGATTTTTTTCCTCCACGTGACCAGTTACATAAGCATCCTCAACCCTCGTGAGTGCCTGGTCCTTGGTGGGGGCTTTAATGTCACCCTAGATGCATGAGACCGGTCAGGCAGGGAGCAGAACCAGACCCCTTGAGCATCCTCAGGGAGATCCTGATGGACTATGGGCTCCCTGGTGGCCCACAGCCTCCTCTTCCCCTCCCCCCCCAGCACTACCAGTGCCCTGCACTCTGGACCTGCAGTCTCTGCCCCCTGCAGCCCTGCCAGTGCCCCTCACTCCTGATCTGCAGTCCCCTGCCCCCTCCAACCATGCTGCCAAAGCAGCTCCCACATTGCATGTGTGCCTGCTCACAAACGCAAACGCAAATGCACGCACACACACACACATACAGAGTCTCTTTATCTGGCTTTCCAGGGCCTGCATGGGGAGCACATGACCCCAAACAGCCAATCACATTGCCTGCTGCTCCCAGCCCTAAGCAGACAGCCTGGGAGAGCAGAGGAAGAACAAAAAACCTGGATATTTGCTCTTATTTTAAAAACCTGCCCAGATGCAGCACAGGGGGCCAAAAAAGAGGACATGTTCAGGAAAACCCGGATGTATAGTAACCCTACCCACCTCTCTGTCTTTCACATGCATCCCTGCTGCTACTTCCACCCTTCCTCCAAGCCCATCACACACCTAAATGGTTACTGGGACCAGGAGTCCCCAAGGCTGGGGCTGCACGTCTCAGTATCATTTGGCATGGGGCAGGGCTGAGTGTGGCAGTTACCCCTGCACCTATGGCTCCTGCCAGCAGGTCCCATCCTATCCCATTTGGTTTCTTGGGCGTGCAGGGTGTGAGATTTATGTTGTGGGGGGGCAATGTGGAGTTTGGAGGGGTGGGTATGGCATTTATGCA